TGATAAATGTTCATATTTCAGCTTATATATAATATTTGATTAATTTCGTTCTGGCTGATGTGGGAAAACTCAAAAAATTAATTCTTTAACATATCGTTAGATATACGGGCAAAATATTCAAATTTAACATTAAATCTTCAATTTATTAAGAATCAAACAGGTAGCAATATTAATATACGAGAAATCCACATTTACAATTTAGTATGTGTATAAAAAAAAAACTAATATTTAAAATTTTTTTTAAATTAAAATCTTTTCCAGCAAAATTTTCACTTATATCCAAGATATTATCTTGGCTTAGAGTTGGATAAAATTTTCGAAAGACCGATAAATTATGGCTGTGAATTTTCGGATGCAATACTAATCAGCTCGCTATTTTATACTTTTTTACGAGTTATAGTACAGTAAGGAAACGGTATATATATAAAACGAGCAGTATTGAAGAGATTACTCTACAATAATAAATTATTTCATCTCTCTATATACCTGGAGCTTAGAATTAATATGGTGTATGGTGTGCCTGAAACATTCGCATATAATAAATCAGAAATACGACAGTAATAAAGGAAATTCAAAAGCTAAGACAAAAAACATGAATTCACATTTCATAATTTATTTCTTCACATCCTTCAGAACTGCCATAATGGAAAATTTCATAACCAACCCCTTATCGTACAGCATGTTCATACTACACTTCTGAACAATCGTAAGCTCTGCTCTATAATTTTTAATTACAACTAACTAATAGTGCCCGTAATTTAATTTGTTTCTATCAAAAGGATCAAATATGGACTGTAGGTGCCTTTTATTAGTGTAATGATGGAGTTCCGCCGCAACTTCATTAAAATCACTGTTCTTTTTTCAATAGTGAGAACTAAAACAACCAAAACCAAAAAGCCAATCAAGTTCGGAAGAGCAAGGTGGCAACGTGGGTGTATTTTCTAAACAAAGTATATTGCACTATATTTTAGAATTTCACATACATAACTATACGAATGCATATACTCTATCTATATGTGTGTACTTAATAGCTTTTTCACTTTTTCATATTTCTGCTGGCACTCGGTGTGATTTTTGACAGTTTGCACTAACGGTGAATGGCTTAAAACCACAGCATGATAAATTTAATTAATACGACAATAAATTTATAATTGCACCATCAATATTGCAATTGCTCACTTTTGTGGGGGCTGTGGCCTAGGTGCTTAAATGGATTTATACTTTATATTTATTATTGTATGTTCATTGATATAAAAGGTTTGTAGCGAAAATATTAAATATTACATCATATTGGTAAATGTCATTAATATCAATAAACTCGTGACTAAGTGAGAGCAATTAAATTGTGGCTTAACTCATTAATGAACTTTGACGTTTAACTTTTGTTGAAAATAAGTGTTGAAGTAGGAGTAGACTGTCAATTTACTCAGAAATTGTGGTAATATCACTTTCACTATTTCTCAACATATACATATATAAGATAACAAAATATAGTTTTTGACTTTCCATATTGTCTAAAATTTTCCATCATCTTTTGGTAGTAGATAAGAACTCAGGCATCATACACCGCTCAGCATGTATACCTATACCTATATTGTATAGTTGTCTTCGATTCTATACAAAATGTAAGAAATACACCCTTTATAACTGTTACTGCGTATAAGTTCTAAATGTATATTTTTATGGAAAAACTTATTAAGACCTTTTTTGTAGAGCTCTAAATTTTGTAGCAGAACATAATTTTTTCATAGTTGTAGGTTTAATTGTTTAGGTAGGGACGGTTTAAATTGAAAAGGAAAGTTTTTTACGTTAAATAATGTTTTTTAGAACAAAAACTGAAACTTCAGGGGAGTACGTTAACGTCAATTTGGGAAATAACAGAAACCCTAATATACCATATGTATAGATAACACATATATATATATATATATATATATACATTTACTGACAATAAAATAGAATATCATCGATGGTTCCGAAATAATTAACAATCTGTATTATTTGTATGACAAATTTCGGATACGTTTCGCCTGTAATTTTAGCTCTGTTTTCTGATATCTTTGTGTTCAAATTAAACAAAAGTGTGTTGTCATGACAAAAAAATAGAATCAAGAAATATAAAAATATCAATTATAGACTTTTTTTTAGTAAAAAATTATATAATCTTTAAAATATTTCTTAATACTTGACATTTTGTTACAGTTAACTATTATTTGTAGAGGAAATAGTCCGAGGTAAGCACTACACAGTGGCAGAGCTTAAGCTTATAAAAAAACACCCAAAGGGAAATTTTAAAAATTATAAAAAAAAAATGCCAAAGATTTGTGTGTACTGCTTTGAAACCTCCAAAAATGTGAATTAAAGAAACGGCCTCGAAAAACGACGATTCAGAATGACAATTACATAGAGATTTTATCAAAACGCGAGCCTTTCACGTCCTCTGTAGCTATCCAAAGAGAATTAGGTGTTGACGAAAAGATAGCGCAACAATCGGATTGCTTTTGCTTAAACGCATACCAATTGGACCGGTGAAGAAAATATAAAAAAGTGGTGTAAGATCCTTTAGTACGATGAATCTAGAATAAAAATGGTAGGTAGAGAAAGATTGGGTTCGACGTCCGAAGAGTGCTGAAATGAATTCCCGATACAAAACAAAAACTTTCAAACACGGAGAAGGTAATATCATAACATGGCGATGTTTTTCGTGGTACGGAGTTGGACCGCGATATCTTAGAAGATGTAATGTTTCTTGTGCTGAAGGGAACATGCCTTTAGTTTGCCAGTTCCATCATGACAATAACCCTAACCATACCTCGGGTGTGATCAAAATTTGGATACAAGATCAAAGAATCGATGTTATGATTTCGCCAGTGCAATCTCCGAATTCAAATCCTATAGAAAATCTGTAGAATACAAGTATTGTAAAAAAAAAAGTTGGAACCCATTAAACCACGAAATAAGGGGGGATTTTGGGAAATAGTCCAAGAGGCGTGGTATTCAAAACCGAATACAGCTTTACAAGCTCTAGTGGAATCTATGTCGAAAAGGTGCGCTGCCGTACTCGCAAATAAATGTTTTGAAACAAAATTCTAACTTATATGCATTTTTTATTAAAAAAGGTCCACTACTTACAAGTTTGGGTTCCATGATTCTATTTCATTGTCAATTGAAGTTCCTGACAGTTCCTTTAATTAATAATTAAATTTGTACTAAGTTATTTTTGCTTTTGAAATGTTTAAATAAATTTTATTAACTATAAACAATATATATTTCCTCCTAAAACTTTGATTTTACTTTATTGTAAGTAATTGTATATAACTCTTATATTATTCTCATATATTTACTAAGCGTAGTCGGTGCTGGCCTAAAGTATATTTCTAAGTTTCTTGTGCCAACTGTTTTTGTTCCAGAAATATTACCCGTTAATACGACCGAAGTCACTACTATATGAAACTTAGTTTCTTAGGTATATTCAAGACCGCTTTATTTGGATTAGAGCGTCAACGAGTCGTGAGAAAACCTATGAAACTAACTTAACTTAACTTGAGGATCTTTATCATAAGTACTACACTGTAAAGTTTTATAAATAGCAATACGAATATATATATAATGTTGGTATTTTTATAAAACATATGCGGCTAAACAAGGATAAGAGCTACCACAGGGTATATACCCTCAAGATGTACATCTAAATCGTGGCTATGTAAAAATCGAGGGAAGGTATGAGTTTGATTATGCATTTTTGATGCGAGTGGATTGTTCAGTGTGGGTTTTATGAGATGCTGTTGACTTAAGTGCAATATCTGACAGTCAGCTGTCTTAGGAACGTCTGCTTCTATTAATAAGTAAAAATTTCGACTTTGTGGGTGTAAGTCAACGTCTCTGATCAGCCATATAACATATAATTTAATAATTTGAAAATTATACGAAATATGCATGAGATAATGTTTTGTTTTTAAGAAGAGCTCACACATTTTCAGAATATTTTTTAAGAGTAAGGTGTACTCAAAAAATTAGTATATGGTTTATTCCCAAAAAACGGAATAATTCTGTAAACAGCAAAAGGCAGTTGGATAGGCAAAAATTATGCGAGTACATAATTAGGTTATAGAACCAGTATGTAGGCTGATTAGTTTAAGAGGAGCTTTAATATGATATCTGAACTTTTATCTTAGCAATATAATAACGAATTTTTAGGGTGAAATGTAGTTACGTTTACCTGCAAGTTGGTTATCAAAAATTAAAATAATCACAAGTTAAAGAGAAGGCCTCTCACATTAGATTTTATAATTATTAACTTAATGTGAAATGAAGAGTCAACGCCAGTGAAATAAAACGTATAATTAATAAATCGTAGTCAAAATTGAAAGGCAACTTCACTTAACGTTTACTTGAATAAATCTTAAGCAGTCGTAACCATTTCAGAAGTTAAGCAAGTGCTAGATACAGAGACTCAAAAAATAATATGCGTGTTCGTATGTAAAAACTGAATCACAAACATGCAAGTATATATGTATGTATGCCAAAGCCAAGTACCTCAGAGCACACTTTTAGGGCAAAGTGAACGCGCTGTCGCCGAGTTGCTTTCCAACAAATGTGAAAACTTTTTCGATTACGTGCTTGTAAAAGTTTTCGTCTTCATATGAAGCGCCCGATGGGATAAGGTGTGGCAACAAACACAAAACGAAAGAAATCACAACCAATAACAGGAGAACAAAGGCATTTAAAAAATTTGACACACATACAAGCATACATTAGTGAACAAGAGTATGTGTGTTTGTTTTTGGAGTGTAACAAGTCGAGCACCGAGGCTGGTACGGCACAAGTGTCATCACAAACGAGTAATGAAATCTTTAAAACTAAGCAGACCACAAACATTTTTACACACATACATAGATGTGTAGAATAAAACAATATTAAAAAAAAAAAAATTATACAAATAATTATCGCCCCAGTTTTTCATATACAGTAGTTTGATATGTATTGGTTTTTGGACTCACTGTTATTTTCTCCTCCTGTCGTTTGTGGTTAAAGCTTTTGCCTTTGATTTGCCTGCTGCTGGTGTTACCGCTCCTCTCGTTGCTTGATTGCGCTGGAACATTCGGTATTGTTTTAAAGCGCAAAGCAATCTCTGTGCGTCGGGTCACATGGTCGGTCGTTGAATATCGGTAAAAAGTTGATTCATTGCGTTGTTCTGTTGCTGTCTGTAAAATAAAAAGTAATAAATGAAAATTATCTATAACACGGCTTGCTAATTTATTAATCGCTGGAGATTTTTCACAATTTATGAAATGAAAGGCAGAGGGGTAAAAAAAACTAAATGTTGAAGTTAAAACATTTAATAGAGAAAACGTGTTAGATAACTGTAGAGAAACTAAGTAGAAGTAATTTTAGACAAGTGAGAATAAAATCAATGTACTACAAAGGTAAGTGGGAGGGAGAGAGATGTCAGTCATCCGAAAGAAATGGAGAGCGGAAATATATGAGACCAAGTGAAAGAATTTCATTTTTTTTGCAATAAATTGAAAGTTTTATTTAGCATAGGCAAAATGATTCAATGTAGGCCAAGAATGCACCGTTTTGTTCGACCACTCGAAGGCCACGAAGGCCACTCTCATAGAAACCAACAAATTATTTGCCATACAAATGATCAGGTAGTAATCCCTTGATGCTGAGTCTGGATTTCCGGATTTTCTGTCAAACCATTGTCGATTTGTTTTTCCTGGCGTTGCCCTGATTAAACACAATTTCTCCCTATTGATCAAATCTGGCCACTTCTAGGCGATTGCTTCCGTCAGACGGTCCAAGTGTACGGGGGGATCATGATAGAGATTTACCGCCAGTTCTACTTAATACAAAGCAAAACCTTCCTGAGAATTTAACTTTATTCAAATGATTTTGTTTTAAAAATGACTGCCATAATTGGCTCGAATAAATTTCAGCCGAACAGACGAATTTCGACCATTTTTTGCAGCGTTTGGGTTTGGAGTTTATCTGCGTAGACAAGCGATTTCACATAATCCCACAAAAAATAATACAACGGTGTTAAATCCAGAAACACCAGAAGTTTCCTTTAATAAATTGATTGTTTCGTTGGCTGTATGGCAAGTAGCGCCGTCTTGTTAGAACCAAAGGTCATCCACATGGCTCTATAGCGTTCCCCATTGACTGTAACATTATGGCCGCGTACAATGGAAGGACTCATTCGGGTCTTCTTCGGTACCGAACAGCAGGAATAGATTTATCATTATCCATTAAATCATTATAAAATGGCAAATCAAACGGAGTATAAATCAAGTAACAGCTGTTAGAACGACCTACTCCGAAAAAAGTATGGCCTCATTGCAAACCATACGTCTAAAAAACACTCCTTATACATATATAATATAATTGAATATATTTCCCTAGAGACGGAGAAAATCATCAATTCACGAAAAGTGAGAAGAACGAAAAGTGAACATACTGGGTTGTAATTGTTCTAAGAACAGAAAGCTAAAGAAGTAAGGGGGGAAAATTAAAGCTGGCTGTTAATAAGTTGCGCCAGTATTACATGTAAGTATTTTGCATCGCCGCCCGATGATCAAGAGTTATAATATTGTTTTAACTGCGGTTGGAAGTGGATGGATCCGACAATGAGCAGCTTCTTGGCGAGAAAAGCGTGTCTAAAATTTTTCAGACCGATATCTCACGAGGATTTTGCGTATATACAGATGAACAAACAGACAGATTGATTATTTATATATTATATTATATGTTTATGCTTTATAAGGTCTCCGACGTTTCCTTTTGGGTGTTACAAACTTTGTGGCAAACTTAATATATCCTGTGTAGGTAATAAAAATCAAATAGATCAACTGGGGAACTTCAAAACTTATGTTCACTACCACCAATGCCCATTTAATAAGAAAAAGTGTATGTCATTCAATTTATTAAATTACTTACACATTGTATGATTATTTTTAGCAACAGGTGACTCGCTTGTTATATTAGATGCATGCGCCACCAACACACACGTGCAACATTTTACATTTACCTTCCATCCTGTAGCCCATTTGACCGAAATAAATAAATATTTAAGCGCCACCCTCACAGTGCTCATAAGTGCTTGCAAGCAGCTCTCTCATAAAAAAAAATATCAACAAAAGCTTTGCTGTGACGCATTACTATTGGTGTAAAAATGACAAAAACAAAATTGTAAATTTATATTCCTTTTTTACAGTTCTATAGGACCACATACCCATCTACAACTACCTACATATTTATGTAGAAATGTACGCTCATCCTTAGAAGCTCATCTACAATATCGCAGGGGAAATCGCACTGTGCAATGTAGGCCGTTTTCATGTGTGTGGGTATTTGATTTCACACATGCGCAGTATCGCCAATTATCCGGCGGAGAAAAACGGATATAAAGAGTGGGATGAGGGCCATAAAGCGTGTATGTAGAAGTGTATATTCAATGTTGGATGGATAAAACTGGATAAGAGATTTTAAAAAATTAACTAAAATAAATAATATATTAAATAAAAAAATAATAACAAAATGCCATTAAAGAATTTATATTTTAATTTAGTATAATATTTAAAATTTTGGCAAAAATAAAGGATAAACAAAAAATTTACATAAAAATTGAGTAGCTTTATAAAGTGAAATAAATAATTAAAAAAACTCTCACAAATATTTAAACAAAAACAAAAAAAAACAAAGGATTCCTATAAGCAGAAATTAATTAAATACTCTAAAACAGATTATAAATTTTAAGCCACTTTTTTTTATAAAAACTATTAAATTAAATACGTAAAGAATGGCAAATTTCGGCTGTATTCAAACATTCTATACTTTCGGAATTTTTAAGGACCAAAGTCGGGAAAGTACCTTCAGACATTTTCAAAGTTTCATTTCGAAAGAAACAACGACCGGTGATTCCACCAGACCAAAAACCACACCAAACGGTCAATTAGTTGAACGTAATGATTGTTCACGAATAATTTGTGGATTTTCTTTGCCCCAGAATCGACAGGTTTGTTTATTTACCGCACCACTCACCATACCATAACGATCAAAAAATGGCAAAAGCGCACGAAAAGTTGCAATTGGAGAACGATTATTTTGATAATAAAATTTAATAATTTCTAAACGTTGTTGATGCGTATATCTTGCCATGATGAAATTGTAAACATTACTGAATAGAATGAAAAAGAAAAAATACAGATCATGACATATTAAAAATGGCCGAAACGAGACTTAGAAATTATATCATCCCGTATTTGAAAACCCAATATATAGCTTAATATCAATCAGTTACCGTAAGATATTGCATACCACAATGAAACTTAAAATTGTGTTATATGAGAAGTAGTCGAATTTAGTACTTTTTCACACCTTAATATAAAGGAGAAAATAATGTTAATACAAGTATATTATATGTCAAGGAGCCTGTGAGATATGAGATTTCACGTAGAAAGGGGCAATGCCACGCCTATTGTTTAACTTTTAGAATGAGTCTTATTTATCCTTTCTGTGTGTGATATGGTTTTGACGTATTTATTGTATTTAGTGACTTATCGAAGTTTTAGTAGTTTTTAACATAACCGTTACATGGGTAGTTTACAAGAATTATTCTCAGCAAGTTATGGTATGTCGATTCAGCTTTAGTGGTTTGAGAGATATGTACTTTAAACTTTTAAAGGGTGGGGCCACGCCCACATTTTACTAACATTTATAGGGGTCGGCGGGTTTGAAAATTTCAAAATATCGTTTTTTTTTTTGTTTTATCCGAGATAAACCTCGATGCGAGATAGCCTCTTCGGAAGTTTCGCCCATCATCTGGTCAATAAATGAAACGGTTTCCTTTTATTACAACTAATTGCTTTGAGCCAATACATGGCGAAAAAAAGTGATTTTTGTGCAAAGCTTGTCAAAAATGTATACTTAAATTTTTTCCTTCGTCTAATAACGCGATTTGTCCAAGTGTTAACGAAATATTTTTGGATTTTTGAATTAAGATGAACCAATAGTGAGTTATGATGTCCCCAACAAGAGCAAATTTTTTTTATGAGACGGCAAGAAAGATGAAGATGATGACTAACGGCTGAGTTTTTTTTCTGATTAAAAATTTTACAAAATACTGTTTGAATATATATCTTTGATATGCTGAATTGTTTACATAAAATATTAGGTGTAGTAAAAAGAAATCCATTATTTTTTTAATAGGTGGCGTTATTAATCTGTACCTTGCGTTGTATATGTCCAGTCGGGTTCGGCTAAATAGCGTTAAAAAGATGACATTTCGTACTAAAAAAGCTTTTTTGACAGTATTTGTTATTGGTTGATTCAGTTTTGTTTGAGCGCGCTTCAAAGATGGACACTAGCAAAAGAAAATAGCTATATTTTACAGTTTTTCCTCGATAACGATTGTCCAGAACCTAAACATTGCATAAAAACCGCTTGAAACTATTTGAATGAGGTTGGATACGAAAAGTAATAATTAAGGCATTCTATTTCATACAAAATTAATGAATTTCTTTTTACTACACCATATATGATTATATATATTAGAAAACAAAAAAATAAAAAATACCTTTTTTTTAACCATACTTTTATATACTATATTAAATTACAGTTTTGTGTCTTAATTGGAGAGTAAGTTATAACACTTTATAGGTTTTAAATAAATGGGATTTTGTGTTATATATATTTGTATATACAACAAGTTACCATAAAAAATATCAAAAAAAAAATAAATAAAATATAAACAAAGTGTCATAATTTAACGTTTCTGCTACCACCTTGCTTGCAAATAAATCACAATAAAAGAAGAAATCCTCGAAATAATACTCGTATGTACTCAATTTTAACCAATAGTTTCATATTTGCTTGTGAGTAACCACATTTGTGGCTTAAGCTAGCGAAGCATAAAATCAAATTAAAGTAAAATAGCCAGTGCTCATTGCTTACAACAACTATTTAAAAACAACAAAGTGCTAATCTCAAATTGTGGACGCAAAAAGGAGCATATTAGAATAAGAATTAAGCACACAGGAAAACCAGTTGATAGTTGCTACCTAGCAGGAAATATAGTTGGTTGAAAACTAGCGCAGGGGTAGCTCTTTAGAGAGTGAAACTGGTCTAACTCTACACAATAACTCTTTTTTAGTTGTGGAGGTAGTAATTTTTCTTATAAATTTATTCATTCTTATTAGAA